GATAACAACTGCCCTGTATACAAACGACGAGTGGAAAGACATAGAAACCAGATAAATTATGGGAGTAATTATGGATGAGAACTTGGATTTCGCAAATGTGCCAGGCGCTGAATATGAATTCTGTGATAATATCAGAGAATTCATACTTTTACTATACTGCCGTAAGAAAAGTACAAAAAAATACTTGGACGCCTCTTTAAATATCTCCATAATGTATAGAATGTACAAAGATATTTGCAATTCCAACAGTTCAGTACCAGTTACGTTGGAGAAATATAGACAATTTTCAAGGAATATAATTTAGATTTTTTTAGAAAGAAGACCAATGCATCAAATGCCTGGCACAGAAATATTTATCCGACGAAGAGCAAAAAGCAAATGAACTAGAACACAATACGCATCTGGGGGCTGCCAGAAGAGCTCGCGACATTGACAAATCTTTAGCAAAGGAAGACCAGAGCATATTATCTTTCAACTTTGATCTTCAGGCAGTGCTCACTACACCAAAAAGTTCTGCAGGGCAAATTTTTTACTTAAAGAAGCTGACAGCGTGTTATTTAACCGTATATATATATGGGGAAATCAGGATATGAGATGTTATCCTTGGGATGAGACACAAGGTAAACGAGGGGCGAATGAGATTGCATCATGCATTTACGATTTTATTATGTCACACCATGATCACACTGCAGTGCCCATGATGTCGGACGGGTGCGGCGGCCAGCAACAAAAAATCTCTAAGTTTGCATCTATGTGTCTCCAACTTTGCATGAACCATCCAGCATTAAAAACAGTAGACCATCAATTCTTTCAGACTGGGCATACCGAAATGGAGTGTGATTCCATACACTCTAAAATCTAAAAGGGAGCWAAGCACGTCCCAGTTTATACGCCTGAGGAATCGGCACAAGTGATTAGAGATTCGAGAATAACGCCTCAGTTATAATAAGCCTTTAACTTTTCAGCAAGTTTATTCAATTTTAACCAGATTCACTGGAGAAGAGTTTGCTGCCTCCGTTACATTAAGGGGCAGCAGTCAAAAGTATTTTTATAAGACAGGCTATCCTGAAGAGTTTATTGAAATAGATTGTTCCAACTCTACAGAAAGTAGGGGTCGTCCAAAGCAAATAGTGATAAGCAACGCTTATACAAGTCCACGACCTATTTGTGAGGCTCAGACGAAAGATTTACAAAAAATGTGCAAAAACTTTACCATACCCAAAGCATACCATAATTTTTATCAAGCTTTGAAAACAAACAAACATATTCGGGGTAATTTACCAGAACCAGATGATGAGGAAAGCGACATTGATACATCATAAACACGGAGCTTATTATTTCAGATTTTTTGGTAGTTTTTGTATTATTTTTTTAATCAGAATTTTGTCCAATTTGCACACTTACTGTAAGCTATCTAGAAATATCTATGCTTATTTAATGCATTCATGTTCATTACTGACGAAAAAGTAAAAAATTATGTGTATTAAAACAGCACCAACAACATACAAACAACTCACCTAAATGACGGAAAGTCGGCATGTCTACTCATGGACATCAACAAGGCTTTTGATAGTGTCTGGCATAGGGG